CCTCTAGCCCGCGTCGCACCTCCCTTCGAGGCTCACGCCCCCTGCCGTGAGGTGTCCCGGCCTCCGCCTGCCGGCCTGACGGTCGATACCATCTCGGCCGAACGTGGCCATCTTTCTCTGGCCAGCCGATGCTCGCTTGTCCCTGTTTCGCCACTGTCGTTAACCGAGGGGACTCTGGGCTTCCTGCGCTGCGGTCAGGCGCCACAGAAGACAGCCCTGCAGGCCAGCAAAGGGAAGAGAAGGACCTCGACCTCGCAGCACTTGGGGTGGCGGAGTCTAACCAACTTCCGCGGGAAGCTGGAAAGGCGATCAAAAGCTGGGTCTCTGGAGTGACTCTGATTGAGGGCAGCCCTTTGGAACATGGGCAAAACCCCCTCATTTTCCCAAGGGGGAACCACCATTGGACTGGTTGCCTAAACTCCCCATCAGGCGTTTCCCTCCCGCCTGGCGGACAGTGGGCGCGAAGCTTGCTGGGATATGTAGTTCACACTCGTGTCTTGTCATTCTCCTACATTAAACTAAACCAAAACCCATCGCCTTCCAGTGGATTTCAACTTGTAGTAACTTCATATGAACTCCGGTCCACTGGGAGTTGCGCTGCTAACCCCAAGAAGGCCTTTCTCTAGGGGTCTGAATCAACCAGCAGCTCCCAAGGAGAAACATGAAGTTTCTTATGCGATTTAGTGCCTCCGAAAAATACGCTGGAGCAATCCCAGAGGGCAGAGTAGAATGGACCCATTGGGTTTACAAGATTCTAATCTTTACAGAAGCAGATCTTTTTCCCTGCACAGTCGGGTTGGTTCCTTGAGCTGGCAGTTTAACTCCCAACCGCAGCGCGACCAGGGAACCTTTTGCAGATTTTACAAGGTAGAGAATCCAGCCTAAGACTGTCAACGCAGCCTTAACTAGGACCCCGGGTAATTAAGATGTCAGCACGCTTTGCCCCTGTCCTATATCGCAACCTAATCAGTGCACATCATCATTCGTATAAATACTACCTAGACTTAACCAGCAAAGTCTAAGGCAGGAGGACTTTGGGTCTAGAAGCCGAATTCCTAGTTGTGGTTTCTTTTCAGGCATATCCCGGGACACCTATAAACCGTGGGGGCTTGACGTTCGCTGGCTTTTTAAGAGGACAGTGCGCATGCTCCAGGTCCTTTCTTACTTTCCGCTTGGAACCATGGAGGCTGCCGTGTAAGTTCCTTGTTCTCCTTTCGCGAATCCTTCCCCATCCCCGACATCCCAGACTTCTTACCTCATTTTCTCCCACCTGGATGTAGCATATGTCCTTGTGAACTTATTTGTGTGTTTGTGACGCTTTATGACTGTAGTGGAAACCCAGGCTTGGACGGGACGAGACGGCCTTGGGGTGGATGTATGAAGTAGCCGGGGAACAAGTTGTTGGGGGCCGAATGTAGGTGGAAACGTGCAGTTTAGTGGAGGGTCAGCTTAGAAGAGAGATTCTTTTGTACATCATGCAAAACCTGTGGGTTTGGTTCATTCTTGGCTGGCCTCTGATGCCGGAGTCCCAGCCTCTCGGCCTTTGCATTCAGCATGTGGAACTACGAGGCTTGAGCCGTGTTAATTTTCTCTAGGGCACCAGTCTCCTAAGAACACTGTATTTTCCTATGGACTATTTTTATTAGCAATTAGAAGTCGGTACTGACCTAGTACCTAGTTTAAATGTAGGAAGTTTTTGTGATTAATGTCTTAGTAAAATGGACTGGCAAAGATGGCTTTTTTGGGTGGAGGGAATCTAAATACGGCATTTACTTGTGGCCATGAGTACAAAGGTACCGATGGATAGAACAGTGGCATAGCTGTATTAAATGACAAAGTGGTTAGTATAGAATGGGACTGAGTTGTTGTTGTTGTTTGTTTTTTAACTGTTAACATTGCTTCTTTTTCAGGGAGAAGAAAAAGAAGGTTCCTGCAGTGCCAGAAACCCTTAAGAAAAAGCGAAGGAATTTCGCAGAATTAAGGGTCAAGCGCCTTAGAAAGAAGTTTGCCCAAAAAATGGTAAGTGGAAGGTTTTTGAGCCTTTTCTGTAAAAAGGGGCCTTGTTGCCAGGGTTGGCAATTAGGCAAGTTGCCTCACTGTTGCAGGCAACATTTAATGGAGCATTCTCGAGTGAGGGTAATTGATGTGTTACGGGATATAATTGCTTCATCATAGGTAAATAACAAGATAACTTGTTTTCAGCTTCAAAAGGCAAGAAGGAAGCTTATCTATGAAAAAGCTAAGCACTATCACAAAGAATACAGGCAGATGTACAGAACTGAGATTCGGATGGCTCGGATGGCAAGGAAAGCTGGCAACTTCTATGTACCCGCAGAACCCAAGCTGGCATTCGTCATCAGGATCAGAGGGTGAGTTTGTGTGAAAGACAGCCTGCTCCACCTTAAGGAGGGGGTGTGTTACATTTGTATTATGGGGCCCCTGGGTCTGAGAAATTAAGGGAAAATGTTTTTGAAGGATACCAAGGATTGAATCATATCAAACAAGGGATTTCTGCTTTCATGGTTTATAAACTTGCATAAAACTATCCTGTCTGTGTTTTGTTTCATGACAGTTAGCTTCTGAAATAAAATCTAAACATGCAATAGATGTGTACAGAATAAGGGAATCAAAGGAAGACTTTAATGCCAAAGAGCTACTACAGGGTATTACACTCTTGACCCAAAAGCTTAGTGGGTCGAATCCACCAGTTGGTCTCCTGGAGAGAGATGAGCAGTCTTTTTTGTGGTTTACATGGTGGATTGACCCCACATAGCCACGCAGCTGTGAATGAGTGACAGGGAAAACTTCATGGATCTTGAATGAGAGATGTTGTCTGTCTAGATAGCCTTTGTCAAAGATTACGCTATGCCATTTTTTAATTAAAAGGATTATGTTTCCTGTTAACTAACGAAGAGTCATGTAAAGGCCAAGTTGATTTTATTTTTTGTGTGTACCATCAAATCAGATCTGGCTGGTACAGATTGCCCCTCCTTTTGCAACAGAGCATCTGGTGGATTCAAACCGAGTACTTCTGGGATTGCAGTGCAGCTTCTTGCCACTAGGTCACCAGAGCTCCCTTCAAATTGATTTCTTATATCTGTTTTTTTTTTTCCCCACTCAGTATCAATGGTGTGAGCCCAAAGGTTCGTAAGGTGTTACAGCTCCTTCGCCTTCGCCAGATCTTCAATGGCACCTTTGTTAAACTCAACAAAGCTTCAATTAACATGTTGAGGATTGTGGAACCATATATTGCGTGGGGGTAAGTCATCCATTAACTGAATGACTTATTACCATATTAAATTGACCTCAGAAGATGGATGTTTGGGTTTAATAGTGATGATCATAGTGTTTGGTCATTTATGTCTACTTTTTATTTTACAGATACCCAAACCTGAAGTCTGTCAATGAACTGATTTATAAGCGTGGTTATGGCAAAATTGATAAGAAGCGAATTGCTCTGACAGACAACACTTTGATTGCACGATCTCTTGGTAGGTACTGCTTTCTTGGGGAGAAATTTGATGTCAGACCAATGTAATACCTTCTGAGATCTTGTGGCACGAAATTTCCTACTAATAGGTACCTATAATTAAAACGTGTGGTCTACTTTCATTAGTTTGACCTCTGTCATAAAGCCATGCATTTCTCACCATTTTATAGCACAGCCTGTGATTGACTCTCATTGGCGTACCTTAAAATTTCCAGGTAAATATGGTATCATCTGCATGGAGGATCTGATTCATGAGATCTATACTGTTGGCAAACACTTCAAGGAAGCAAACAACTTCTTGTGGCCATTCAAATTATCTTCTCCACGAGGTGGAATGAAGAAAAAGACCACTCATTTTGTAGAAGGTGGAGATGCTGGCAACCGGGAAGACCAGATCAACAGACTTATCAGAAGAATGAACTAAGGTGAGAGACTACACGTTACATTCTGGAAAGTTTATTTAATACTGGAGTAACAATTGTTGAATTATTTTTTAATTAAATACTATGGGGGAAGTGTTTGAGAATAGGGTAATGTTTTCAGTTGAGGAGGAAAAGCTATCCTCTAATAGTTTGATTACCTTTAAGCAATTTCTAGAGGGAAGAAAAATGTCCATCTTTAATTGTGGACCTGAAATGCATTCTTAACTGTTAAAATTGTTTATTTAATAGTTTTTATTTTCTCTCCCCTTTTCTTTCAGGTATCAGCAATGATTCTTTTTTGTAATCTGGTCAGTTAATAAAACAGTGCTTTCAAATTGAAATGTTGTGTTAGTGATTAATTTTGTTAGCCTGCCCATTGCTTAATTACAACAAATCTTGTTCTCTGTTAAAATGAAGCAAGATGAACAGTATGTAAACCCTGGG